ATATATATATATATATATATATATATATATATATATATATACACATTATGTTATATATTAAGAAGGTTTGATATGACAAACACATATATATATTTACACACATACATACAAATTTACCTTTTATGCAAATAATAATTTTTAAATCTTTTAATTTAAAATTATTCTTAGCTCCACATAGTCCAAGAGCATTTGGAAGTAAGATTGTTTGTAAATAATTTCTGCAGTGCTCTTTTCATTGCATCTTTTGTTTTCAGACCACCAATCATAACTAACATATTAACCTAGAATAGAACGATTTGTTACCTATTTTTTAGTTTTAAACGTATTTAAATAACATTGATGGATACATACCAATTGTGATTGTGCTTCTTCTGATATTAATATGGTTTCAAAATTATCAATGTTTTCAATATTATCCATTGGTAACTGCGGAAGCATATCAACATTATGATGAATATTGACATTGTCTTTAATATTTTTTAAAATATGTAAATGATCGTCTATTCGCTAACCCATAAATTTTATTTCAATGACATATCGTAGTATGGAATGAAGAATTTCATTATCTGTAACACAGAAAAACACACGCACGTACGCACGCACGCACATACACACACATGCATACAAAATATGTGAAATATTATTCTTGTAATATTAATTTATTCTTTTATCTGTCCTTCAAAAAGTTAATTAAGTACTGAAATAATGATTATATAATCTTAATTATCCACGTTACATTAATATGACAAACTTTTATAGAGAATCATATATTATTGTATAGTTAGCAGAGGCTCGCAAATCGATGCATTAGCCATCTTTAAGAAATCTTTAAGAGTTTTGGTCTTAAAATGTTTTGAAGACGTTTCTTAAAGAACTTTTAAAGATATCTTAAAGATGGCTAATGCATCTATTTGAGAGCTTCTGCTCAGCGGGTATGTATAATTTTTCTCATTTTCATAGAACATTCTTTCCTTCATAAATTATACATTTTTTGTTAATAATCTTCCATAAAATATAAATATATAACTTACTCTGATTGCTTTCTCTGTTGGAACATTCACCGCTTCAACGACAAAAGGAATGTTATCAATATCAAGGATATGTCTTTATCATTAAAATTTTCATTTACGCCAACATCTGAAAATTCCTCTCTCTTTATTAAATTATAAATTTCTTTTCATAAATATATAAGTCATGCGCGTAGGTACGCACGCATGTTTATGACTCACAAAAGAGGGGGGG